CCCCCCCAGTGTCCCCTCCCTCCCTCCCCCTCCCCAAAACCCCCCCAGCCCAAATCTCCCCCCCAAAGCCCCCCCAGCCCCCTCCTCACCCCAAATCTCCTCCTCAGCTGCTCCCCCAGCACCCCCAAATACGCCGCCGTGTCCTGGGGGTCCCTCGTTCGCGTCACCAGGAACCCGTCCACCACCTGGGGAGGGGGCTCTGAGACCCCCCAACACCCCCGGGACCCCCAAAACCTTCCCTGGGACCCCCAAACCCACCCAAATCCAACCCAGGGGGTCCCTGGGTGCTGGGGAGGGGTCTCAGGGGGGGTCTCTGGTTTTTGGGGAGGGGTCTTAGGGGGGTCTCGGAGTGATTTGGGGAGGGGTCTCGGGGTGATTTGGGGAGGGGTCTCGGGGGGATTTGGGGAGGGGTCTCGGGGGGGGGGTACCTGGGTGTTGGCGGCCGCCTGGCGCAGGGTGGGGAGGGGGAGGGGCAGCGGCTCCCCCTCCCCCGGCTCCTCCAGGAGATAAACGGGAAAGCGCAGCCCGGAGCGACGCAGCCGGAACTGGACACACGGACACGGGGACACGGGGACATGGGGACACACCGACACACGGACACGGGGACACACGGACACGGGGACACACGGACACACGGACACGGGGACACATGGACACATGGACACGGGGACACACGGACACGGGGACAGATGGACACGGGGACAGTCTGAGACCCCCGGGGAACAGCCTCACCCCTCCCAGTCCCATCCCAGTGCCCCCCAGTTCCTCCCTGTCCCCCCCGTTGCCCCAGCCCCACCTTCTGCTCGCGGTACCGCCCGTCCCGGACGCTGTTCCCCAAATCCGCCGCCGATTTCCGCTCCACCACCACGTCCAGCACCAGCTCCCGGGGGGCGCGGCCTGGGCGGGGCCAGCACGATCACACCCGGCCACGCCCACCGGCCACACCCACCGGCCACACCCCGGCCCTGCCCCCTCACCAAGGGGTGAGGTCACAGGCCACGCCCAGCCATCATGGCCACCACAGGGTGGAGCCAACACCTGACTCCACCCAGGTGAGGTCACACCTGGCCCCACCCCAGGGCCACGCCCACCGCAATGGGCGGGGCCAGGACATGACCATGCCCCCTCTGGCCACACCCAGCCAATAAGAGTGCCAACGAGGGTGTGGTCAGCACCAGCCCCACCCAAAAAGGGGCGTGGTCAACACAACCCCACCCTCCACTCTGGCCCCGCCCCCATGTGACCACACCCATTAGCAACCACACCCATTGAACTGGCCCACCCAGTCCCTGGGGCGGGGCCACCCTTGCCACGCCCTCTCCATTGCCACGCCCCCTCCCAGTTGCCACGCCCACTCCCCAATTGCCACGCCCACTCCCCAATTGCCACGCCCCTCCCCATTGCCACGCCCACTTCCCCATTGCCACGCCCACTCCCCAATTGCCACGCCCTCCCCATTGCCACGCCCCTCCCCATTGCCACGCCCCCTCCCCTTGCCACACCCACTTCCCCACTGCCACGCCCACTTCCCCACTGCCACGCCCACTTCCCATTGCCACGCCCCCTCCCCTTGCCACGCCCACCTGTGGGCGGGTCCTTCTCACGCGCCACCCACAGGAAGTCGCCGACGTGGAGGCGCCGCAGGAGCAGCGGAACCCCCCGGGAACGGAGCAGAGCCGGGACCCCCCCAGCGGGGCTGGGGACACGGGGACACATCAGGGGGGGACACCGGGACACCGGGGGGGACATGGGGACACCTGGGGGGGGTGGGGACACCAGGAGGGGACGGGGACAGCAGGGGGGACATGGGGACACTCTGGGGGGGACACGGGGACACCTCAGGGGGGGTTGAGGACACGGTGGGGGTGGGGACAGGCACCCGTTGGCCTCGGTGACGTCGGCGCACAGGACGATGTCGAACTCGCCCGGCCGCAGCTCAAATTCCTGCTCGGGGTCGCACCTGGGGGGACCCCAAATTTCACCCTCGGGGGTGCCAAATTCACCCTCGGGGGTCCCAAATTCACCCTCAGGGGGTCCCAAATTTCACCCTCAGGGGGTCCCAAATTTCACCCCCGGGGGTCCCCGCCCCCCCCCAAAACTCACGCTGGGGGGGAGGGGACGCAGTTCTCCTCCTGCTCCGCCAGGGGGCGCTGCGGGCACACCCGGCCGGGGGGCGGGGCCTCGGCGAGACTCCGCCCCCTCGGGGTCAGCGCGTACCTGGAGGGGGGAGGGGTGACGTGGGGGGGGTCCCGGGGGGGTTCTGGGGGTTCTTGGGAGTCGCAGGAGGGGTCCCTGGGGGTCCCAGGTGAGTCCAGGGAGTCCTGGGTGGGTCCCAGGTGGTGCAGGGGGTCCCAGGTGAGTCTGGGGGGTCCCAGGTGAGTCCAGGCAAGTTCAGGGGGTCCCAGGGGGGTCCCAGGTGAGTTTGGGGGCTCCTGGGGGGGTCCCAGGTGAGTTTGGGGGGTCCCAGGGGGGTCCCAGGTGAGTTTGGGGGATCCTGGGGGGGTCCCAGGTGAGTTTGGGGGGTCCCAGGGGTTCCCAGGTGAGTCTGGGTGGTCCCAGGTGAGTTGGGGGGACCCGGGGGGGATCTCAGGTGAGTTTGGGGG